TGCAGTGTGTTGGGATGCTGCACACAGAGTAGGATGGGGGAAGCGGGGGTACACCACGGTGATTGCAGTACATCTGGGGGAACTTTGTCCTTGAGCGCGGCTAACCAGTATAAGATGTGACGGCAACCAATCAGCTTCTGCGACACGTCTACTGTAATGAATGGGGGAGGGATATTATGATCGCGGCTCATAGGTGCCCACCCCCTACACCGTATCAGTACAGCACATGCAGGGACAGAGCAGGGAAAACTCTCATGCAGTTAACCATTATGTGATCTCTATTCCCTGCATGATGGACAGCTCGGCTTATGCAGGATCAGAGCGGGGAAAGTCCATCGTGGGACCGGAAGGGTTTTTTTTTTCTGTCCTGGTTTAGATTTCCTCAACTATGATTAGTGGACACGCATTGTGAGAGAGGAAGAATCAGCCCAGGGAGCTAATTGGTTCATCTGCTGACAAGCATGTTGATCGGAGTAGAGATCAGAGTGACGGAGAGATGTGATCATCGGTGTGCTGCTTCTCCTTTCACTGTCCAGTCACAGGTTGGGGGCTCGTCCGGGATGCTCTAAGCTGGAAATGGGCTGAATGATGCCGGCCAGCTGACTGAGGACACTGGTGGCATTTTCAGTGTTTTTAAATCTGCAGCTTTTATTTAAAACAATCCCTTAGTGATCCCGCCAGGAAGATCCTTGCTCAGGCACTTCCTGTTTTAGGGTGACACCGCTCCATTCCTGTCTCATAATTGTTCTTCTGTGGTGTCACTCAGGCTTACAGTGGAGACTACAAGTGACCATTTCATCGTTCATTACACAGACGTGGTCCACTGTTGTCACCATCAGGAAACCCGCCCTGAGAAATCGCTGGAGAGCCACAATGCTCCTGGTAGCCAGACTCTCTGCAATCCCTAATGACCTAAGGTAGCCACAATGCTCCTGGTAGCCAGACTCTCTGCAATCCCTAATGACCTAAGGTAGCCACAATGCTCCTGGTAGCCACCTACAATATAATCCTTTCTGCTTTTTTCTTCATGGATGGAAACCGGTTCTCTTTGAACTCCCTATCACTGACTGGATGCCGCTGACCCGGCCCCTATTGATTGGTTTGGGGCCCCTGCGTGGTGCAGGATGCAGATGGAAGGCCGGGTGTCTGCAGTGAGAGTGAACAATGGGAAATGAAAGTGAGAGCGCGATGACGATCTATCTGATAAAGTTCATTGTGAGAGCGGCGCGCTCCTCGTGTGGGAGGTTTGCCGTCGATTAGATCTGAACCCGGCGCAGCTCAGCCGGCTGTCAATACGGGAAATCGTTTACCGGCGCTGCTGTGGGCTGCACTATGCGCGGGGGGGGGGAGGGGTAGTTGTGGCGTGATTCCGGCTACTTTCCCATCACACATAACATTCGTCGGCTGCACTGCGATCGCCATTATAACGGGAGGTGGTGGAGTAAGATCGCAATGATGGGGGGAGGGGAGGTATAGGCGAATAGCAATAAAGAAGATACCAAACATCACACGTAGAGAATATCCTAAAAGGGTACCGGCCCTTTAATACCGGCCACAAGACCTGGGCACCCTCACTGTCTGGTTCTGCTATGGCTGTGCGCAGGCTCTTGAAGTATAAACGGCACCCGGGTAAATGCGGAACTCCATGCAGACGTCAGATACACAAATGCAGCTCCGTCATCATTAACACCTCATAATATATCAAATGTGTTTTGTTTTACATACAAGCTTGAGCTCACTGATGGGAGGAGAGGGCAGAGTGACGAGGAGAGGAGATGATCAGTCTGCTGCTTCTCCTTTCGAACTGATGCAGCCTCCACAAATATGGAGCGGTGAGCTGCAATAGGACATTTTTGTCACCCATCAACATGCCCCACCCCCTTTGGGGGGAGGGGTTTAAATGACAGGGTGGGCCCAAAGGAATGACAAGCAGAGGTGGGGGGGTTTAGGGGGGCCCTTCTCTGAGTTCACATGCTCTATGTTTAATTTGCCTCAACAACCTAATGGGGCCCCTTCCACCTCCGGGCCCCATAGAAGCTGCCATGGCGATAGTTACGCCGCTGCCGGTGACTCCTCCCACCTCTCTACACATCACACGTGGCCAAGCCTGTGAGACTCCCCCCAATGGGCACAATGGAGACTTCAAGAGCCTGCACAGGGTGATGGAAGAAGATGGATGGGGAGTGTTGTTTTCTATTCTGAAGCTGGAGTTCTTTCATGTTATTGTTGATGACGGTGATTGGCGTCGCTGCGCGTGCGGGGAGTTTGGTGCTGTCGGCACACGGCGGGGTGCAGTGATTGTGGGCGGAGCTCTGGGTGGTTATTTTTAGTTTCTGCCGGTAATTAGTCTGTTTGGCAGGGAAAGCAGAAGTGAGAGTCTCCCCTGACTAACCTCCTCACCAGACTGCTCATCCCGTCACCTCTTTCACACGCCGCCACTGAGGCCGATGTCCCTGGCCGCTCCATTGCAGGGGCTGAAAAATGGGGTGCACAGAATACCGGAAACCCCCTCGTACGAGCTGAAGTGTGACGCGCTTCTATGTTTCCGCCTCAGCAACATGCTAATGACATTTCTCAATCAAAGCTTTCCACTTCCATCACCAATGCAGTGATGTCATCACTGGGGCTCTGTGCAATGCAGGCAGGTCATAACTGGTGGGAGGGGCCAACAGGGTGCTGCACATAGCTGCCTGATAACATCACAGCACCCGGCCTCAGTACTTCTCTCAAGAGCCCCATTGTCCTGATACAAGCAGTGGGCTGGCGCTTGGGAGGAGTTATGCAAATATAAACAATGCCTGGATGGGTGGGTGTCGGTGTGGAGGAGTGGGCGTTCCTAAGCAGGCAGAGCACCCTGGATGACCCCCACATGTGAGAGTGAGCTTCTGTGATTGAAAGAACTGAAATCCAATGAATGAAAGGGGCGGGCCAAGGAGAGGCAGGCTAGGGAGAAAAGACCTAGATGATGCTGGACATTATAATTATTGTAATACAAAAATTTTTTTTCAAAAGCTTTTTGGTTTTCACTTTAAAATGTGTGATGTGCGTTCTTTAACTCTTCTAATAAAGTTGCTTATCTGAAATCACTGATTACCTTTTTATTGTTCTGATTTCCTATTCCTAGGCATCTGTATGATATAAATAAATACAAATTATTGGCCGGATGTATCCGCACGTAATATTCATTATTTATTTCACAACCTTCTGATGGATTTTCTCTCTTTTTCTTCTTCCCCCAGAAATAAGAATGTCTAAACCGGGACACCTCGGGAAATTGCACACAGAAGGCGGAGTCGCAGGTACGGTGACCACATCAGTGAAATGACATAATTGGCTGTATTGGCATAATTAGCATATTTTTTAAAAGTGTAACTCCGCCCAGAACTCGCTAGATTTGGGTTTTGGGGTAACGGCACATTGTGGGTGCAGCGTGAAGTTTGTCCCCCTCCTCTGGCTGGCGGAGATGAATAGACATCTTTTGATGCATCAATGTGTGTGTGTCTATATATACATATATATATATATGTGTGTGTGTGTATCATAATCTACATTGCTAGTAATAACATAAATCTAATATTATATATTATTATTTATATGCATCATATGATATAACACCACCGTACGGTGACCCCATAACTTCTGTGTGACCCCGGGAGCCACCACTTCCCCCTGTGTCAGTACCGCCAGCACCCGGCCATATCCTCCTTCACACACTGAGGAAACCCCATTACGGTAATATGTGACAGTTTTATGACAAGGGAAGTCCTGTTCATCATTCTGGAATCCCCCCTCCAGGGTGACACGAAGAGGAAGTCTCCTCCAGCCGCTCCTACCATTC